CGTTGTCCCAAAGATGAAGTAACCTTTGTCTTTGGACTAGTGGGAGATCAAATTGCTGGTTACTTATCCATAGGAGATTTAAAAAATCTCAGCAAGTTAGCACTTTTCTTTCATTTACATATTATCACGCTATAGATATTTCCTAAGGGGAAGAATCATGTCCACCAAATTTTATGATTTCAATTACTAGTAACTGTAGGAGATAAGGAAAATTGAAATGAGTTAATGAGTTAAAATGAAACGATTGGTAATACTAATAATATCATCTTACAGGAAAATCTCCATGATGTCTGAATGTGCAAACTATGAGTTAAACCGTCGATATCAAATACGCATTACTGGGATGGTAAAAGGAACCCAGCGCTCATAAAAAAAAAGATTGAAATTAAATCTCAGTATGCTAACGATAAACCAGCCTTTGCTTTTGAACAAACGGGAGATAGGATTTATATATATATATTAAATCCTAAACTGGACAGTTTTCACAAGCAAGGAGACGTTACATATTCTTCGCTTGTTCTCCACAACTGAGCCACAAACAACGACATCTTCGCATATCTGCTACTATTGGACAGCAAACTACGATATTCTTTCTATGCTAAATATGTTTTACGTAACATATCCCCAACTCAACGACCTATTAACTAATTGACAGTCAAATTATTATCGAAGGCAATGACAAGGAATTTGTTAATTGATCATACTACTTGCTTTCTGTATAACTCATTTATTACTGCTTACCAATTCATGGTGTAATAGATATATTTTACACCCCTTTCTGTTGTTAACTAGTAATATTGTGCAAGAACAATATTATGTCCCGAATAAACCTGTATCGCCAAGAAAACAAGTTCAATAGAAAAATAATTTCCCAACAAATTTTGGGTACCATGAACCGGGAATGTCGGACACTATAATCAAAAGTGCTCAACCGGCAAAGCGAGAGTTGGAGAATCTTCTCGATGAAGCAAAAGCTATGGTCCTAACGCCTCCTGATCAACATTTGTCGGTGGAGGAAAAGGAGCAGCAATTCAAACTCAAGGCGTCTATAACTCTATGTTGGTACACTCGGATCAACCAACGAAAAATGGTTGGAGTATATCTAGAAACAAAAGAATGCGCAGAAAAGAAAGGAAGAAGACAACTGCACGGATATGGTCGACGATGATAAAAGCTTTCTAGATTAAGTAAATGACGAGCAAAAAGCTATTATAACTCCAGATATGTACAAGTATGAGTTTAAGCAAGCGGTACAGCGCCTACACAAAGCAAGACAAATAACGAACAAAAAAAAGGGGCCCTCAGTAGACAGTAAATTTGCCACAATTACCACTACCAACATTCAATGGTGACCCGAAAATATGGAGAGAAGAATTCTGGGGTAGTTTTAACGCCACAGTGCATCTTCAAAAAATACCCGATGTTCAAAAATTAAATTATCTAATCTCCTGCCTCAAAGAAAATGCTCTACAAGCTGTTAAAGGCTATGATATTGCTCAGAAAACTACGACGTTATCAGGAGCTTTGGTCGAGAAATTTGGAATCTTATCCACTACAAAAAAGTTGCTGTGAAATGAGCTGTACTCCATCAAAGAATATGATCGGGAGTGATGATCGAGAGTGGGACACAATCGTCGAAATTATGGAAAGAATATTTCGATAACTGGAAGCAATGGGTGAATATTTGGAGCATTCCAGCATTGAAATTATTATTGAAAGTAGATTGCCAGTTTGGATATTGGGCAAAGTTTACCAACAAAAGGACCAGGAATCTCGGACTCCGAAAATTCCTGCAAAAACTAGTCTAAAGAAATGAACAAATACAGAGAAACCAAGCCTCTGGTAGTGGGTACCAATGAAAATCAATCGGGTCGAAGTCGAGTCACAACCCACGCAGTACTAAAGGAGAGAGGTCTGTTTTGGCCGCAATCAATCAACCCAAGCCAAACGATAGTAAAAGGATCACAAACTCAAGGGAATATCCTGAAAGTGATAAAATACGAAGACCCTGCTCATTTTGCAACGGGGATCATTGGGACAGTAATCGACAATAATCGTTTTCATTTTAACTATATGTATTTCACATTGTTTCAATTTATTTTGTTCGGTTTTATTTAAAATACGATCTGTGAATGGTAGCATTTCAATAATCGAAAATGCAAAACTTGGAATTTCTAGATAAAACCTGGAACATATTAGGAATATGTCGGAAAATTTTTCAATTACTGAACAATTTAATTGTTGCAAACATTGAAAAATGAATTCAAATTTCAAACTTAATTAAATACCAGAAGATGAATTAAATACCGCTTTTCCGCTTCAAACATATTGGGTTTATTTCAAAGAAGGAACAACAAGTATCGGCGATAACATCTCTCGAATATGATATCCAGGTTAATTATTCTTTGCATAGGCCTAATTTTTTGCTACTACATGAAGGTTCACATTTAATTGATTCAAATCACTTGACAGATGGAAATTTTCATGTTACATAGAATTCAATGAAATGATCGTAACTGTGATTATCATCTGAGTCAGTTATTCATTAATCAATGACTGATATATATATATATATATATATATATATGACAAATGCTTTTCAAATAGAATGATCTTTAGAACTGAATAATTATTTGAATCATTGTAGATTAGATGAATTTACTTACGTGACAAATTAGAAATGAGTTATGTAGAAATCTGAACGCCACGTTTTTTGTTTTCTTGTTTTTTTTTTTTTTTTGTTATTTATTGCTTCTTGTTCGCCTTTTATCGTC